CCTTTCCCCAGAGGCGGGCCTCCACGAATAGGGGGTCCTCCTCTCATCATCGGGTGCCCTCCTCTCCCCATCGGTGGTCCTTCTATTGGCTCCTCATAATACTCTTCCTCTGTTTGGAAGTAATTTTCCTCTGGCATCCACATTTCTTCAGGGGGAACCTCTGATTCCTCAGCACCAAAATCCTCATATGAAGGATCTTGCCACTGATACTCTTCCTGCTCTTCTGTCATCCCTGAGTCCTCTTCAGGTGGCATGTAATCATAAGACATGTCTCCCCTCTCCTCCCCAAGCGGGACAGTGTTTAGTCCCCTGAAATCTCCACGGCCCCTCTGCCCACGTCCTCGTCCAAGCTCTTGGGCAGGTACTGGAGGCTGACCTCGTCCCCTGCCAGGAGGAGGCCCTGGAGGCTCTGGTCTTGACTGCACATGGCTGGAAGCTTGTGGCTTCTGATGAATTTCAAGGGGCTTTGGAACCACTTTGGGGTTGTTATCTGTCAATGGTCCATCCTGTCTGAGGGGATTTTGGGCAGGAGTACCTTTTGACACTACAGGAGGAGGATCAGTTACGGAAGGCTTGTCGTTAACAGGTTTGGGTTCACTACTTTGAGATGTATTTATATCACTGGATTCCTCAGGATTTGTGGTTGTTGATAATGTCTGAGGAATGGGGTCATTTTGGACAAAAAAACTCTCATTTCCAAGCAAGTTGTCATTTGTCATGTCTTCATCATTGGGCTTATCTTCTGATCCAGATTCACTTTTTTTTTCTTTTTCAGACTGCGACTGCTCGCCCGATTTTCCTAGAGTCTTGGAATCCACGCTGGGAGGTTGTTTAGTGGCTGGCTCTGTTTTAGGTTGGGGACCTTGATGCTGTTTTTGCTGGGGCCCAGGTGGGAGTTCAAAACAAGGTGGAGGGCCAGGGTGCTTTGGGGGCTGGTCAAACCGAGGCTGCTGGCCAAACTGAGGTTGGTCAAATCTGGGAGGACCATCAAAACGGGGCCTTGCTTGGTCAAATCTGGGGGGACCATCAAAGGGAGGCCTTGGTTGGTCAAATCTGGGGGGACCATCAAAGGGGGGCCTGCAGCGGGGGGGCCCAAAGCGGGGCCTTGGTGGGTCAAATCTGGGGGGACCATCAAAGCGGGGCCTTGGTTGGTCAAATCGAGGGGGACCATCAAAGCGTGGCATTGGTTGATCAAATCGAGGGGGACCATCAAATCGCTGCTGTGGTTGGTCAATGCTAGGGTTGTTTCCTCTGTGATGAGTAAGACAACAGAAATTAAGAAAAATATTAAAACACTGAGTGAAAGCCTAACACTATAAAACACCGCATAGTCCTGGTAAACATAAATAACCTACTTGAATTCAAATAACCAGAGAAAATTTTTATTAAACACATTTTTTATAATCCCTACTTACAGTGGCCCACTCAGTGGCTGCGAAGTGGGGGGAACTGGGGGTCTGATTCCTATGCCGGCAGGATCACCTCCTCTCACTGGGGGTACAGCAGGTAATTCTGAATGTGGCCCAAAGCCAGGAGGCTGGGGACCTTGAGATCTGGGGCCAACAGCAACTGGGGAATGCTGCATACTTGGGTTTAGTGACTGCTGTTGCATTTGCATGTCTTGTCCAGGGTACTGGCCATACGGCCCCATGATCCCACTATTATACTGACTTGCAGCAAATGGCACCATGGCAGTCAGGGTGGCCACCCTCTCTTGAAGGTGGGTATTGGTGGCATTCATCTGCTCCTGCCACTGCTTCCATTGGTGTTCATAGTCCTGTAGTTGGTCCTTGTGGGGATAGGTCTGGAACTGTTCATACCACAAGGCAAAGGAGCGATTCCAGTCTTGGAATAAAGGGGTGAACTGTTGCTGTTGCATTTCATAGTGCTGGAGCTGCATTTCAGCAGACCTTGACTACAATAAAGTACATAAAAGACAGGTTCATATTTAATTTTGGTTAAGTATTATATAGGCACATAGAATGTCTAAAAATGAAAGACTATGAGCCTGCTACATGCAACTGCAGTTGAAGATCTCAGTAGCTGGAGCTCCTATACACTCACCAACCAAATTCTGGTTCTACTAAACAATAATTTCTTTTCACCTTTTATTTTCAGTATAGGTCATCTCAAGACTAGGAAAAACAACCAGCCAAACAGCAGCTGTCAAAGAAACTACAATTTACCTACCTGAAGGTCTGCAGGTTGCTGAATCAGCTGTTGGTATTGTTCCAGGATATGCTGAAGCTTTTCATGCTGTTGCATGAGAGCCTGGTATTGTAGGCCTGCTCGCTGCTGTTGCACCTGCTGCCACTGCGCTGCTGCAGCCTGTAACTGCTGGAGGCGGGCAGCCTCCTCTGGGTCTTGTGGGACTTCAGGCTTTAAACAGAAACAATGCAAGACTGAAACGAAGCTTGACTGTAACTCAGAAAGAATATTCTGCAAATACTGAGAGTAGTGTGTGACGGAAGTGATGACATTTTTAAGATGGAAGGCAAGGCATTACTGATAACATACCGCAACACACAATCATTCTATGGGTATCAAAGCTTAATGCACTTTAAGTACTACTACCACTGTTTCCAAGTGTCCAAAACTATCACAAAGTTGGTACAAAATTATCACATAATCATATATTGTCATTAGACACTGATAAAAATTGCTTAGTCTGTTAAAAAAAGAAAAAAATCTAATGTAATCATGCAACCTAGTTCCAGTGATACAAAAGTGATACTTCAAGCAATTCCCAGTTTGGACACTGTCATTATTACAATCATTTCATATAACAACCATTAAAAGGGGGAAAGAAGAATCTGCTTGAGTCCTGTGAATTTCACACATTCATGCCATGGCAGTTATCACATGCTGGGGTTAAATATCTATGGACATGATGATGGGAGAACGGATGGCGGGACTTACTGTGTCTGTAAATGTACGTGGTTTTCCTACATTTTCATTCTGTAAATTTGTGCAAACAATATAAACAATGTTTAGATCTGTGCTCAGTTTAACACCAGATTTGGTGTGTTCCTAAAGGCTGCTGAATATAGCAATAGGGATGAGCAATGACTTTCAAATATTTAAATAGTAATTAAATAAACAAAAAAATCCAATATTTCATTTGCCTATGGTTTTGTCTTTAAAAACAAAGAGCCACTGTTTTCCTTTGCTTTTACCAGCACCTGTAAATAATGAAGTCAGTATATCATTTCAATACAGCGCCAAATATAAAGAGAAGAAACATGCAAAAACTACAACCATCAAGAAAAACAGTCACTGCACAACTGGATAAACTGTATGATGATAATGCATGTGAGCTGCAAAGTCATTTGACAAGTGCTGAAAAGGTGTCTGACCACAGATGCATGGACAGCGCTCATAACTGAACGCTATGTGACGGTCACCTGTCATTATATAATCAACAGCAATGCCAGGCACACAGCTGAAAACCTAGTGAATGTGCTTTCCACTGCTGCGGAACACTGAGGACTTAAAGGGCTTTCACATAGATGGTGCCAACAGCAATGGCAACCTTGGTTGCAGCGCTCTATTGTGTTTGTTGTTTTCTCGGTCTTTTGCAACCCATCCCAGACTACTTTTACCAAAGAAGAACTGTTAAATATCGGACAACTCCCACTGAACTATCTCTCTCTGATTTTTATGAATGAAGAATTCTGTATGGACATTCTGATCGGACGTGCTGCCATATACGGGACCTGGAAGAAACGCCGGTGTGGCAAGCGAGCAGGCATCTTGGTGAGGCTACACCAGAAAAGGACCCAGACTCCAATGCCGTCCATCCACCTAGCGACTGTTCTCTCCCTAGTCAACAAGATGGATGAACTACTTCTCGTCAACAGGACCAACTCTGACTTTGCACGCTCCGCTGCTTTATGCTTCATGGAGACCTGGCTGAGTGACTCCATCGCGGACAGCACAATCCAAGTACCGGGCTTCCAGGTGTACAGAGTGGAGCACGTAATGGAGCTGCCAGGAAAACTAGAGGAGCAGGAATCTGTCTCTACATAAATGAAGGTTGGTGCACAGATGTTACGGTGCTACAGAGGACATGTAACACGGACTTGGAAACTCTCTTTATCAATTGCAAACCTTTTTATTCTCCCCGAGAATTTAACTCTTTCATTCTAATTGGAGTGTCTATAAGACCGCAGGCCCATGCTAGCGCACTACAGCTCCTGGCTGAACTGACAACTAGCATGGAGCTAGAACATCCCGACTCTCCACTCATTGTTCTAGGGGACTTTAACAAAGCAGATCTCACCCATGAACTGCCCAAATATAGACAGCATGTCACCTGTCCCACCAGGGGCAAAATCACACTGGACCACTGCTACACAACAATAAAAGACGCCTATTACACTGTCCCTGACTGCACAAACTGGAGTGTATTTGAGACTGCCGCTACAGACCTGGATGAACTCACTGACACTGTGATATCTTATATCAGCTTTTGTGAGGATGTGTTTGTGCCCAAAAAGACCTTCTGCACATACAAGAAGCCCTGGTTCACAGTAAGACTCAAGAAGCTTCGTCATACAAAAGAGGAGGCTTACAGAAGTGGGGACAGGATTCTGTACAGCCAGGCCAGGAATACACTGACAAGGGAGATCAGAGCAGCAAAAAGGAGCTACTCTGAAAAGCTGAAAGCTCAGGTTTCAGTCAATGACTCCTCGTCTGTGTGGGGGAGCCTGAAAAGCATAACTGGCTACAGGTCACTGGAGCTGTGTGAAGTCCCCTCCTGCTTCAAACGCTCCACCACCATCCCAGTCCCCAAGAAACCCTCCATCAGTGGGCTGAACGACTACAGACCTGTCACCCTAACAGCTGTAGTTATGAAGTCCTTTGAAAGACTGGTGTTGGCCCACCTGAAGGACACCGTAGATGCCCCTGCTAGTCCCCCTGCAGTTTGCCTACTGGGCAAACAGGTCAGTGGACAATGCAGTGAACATGGCACTGCATTACATGCTGCAACACCCCAAGTCCCCAGGGACCTATGCATGGGCCCTCTTTGTGGACTTCAGCTCACCATTCAACTCCATCATCCCAGACATCCTGCTTGTACTGTTTGTTGTTTGTTAATACTGTCTATTTTTGTTATACTACACAGCCTTATGTTGGTTTACTGTTTACCTGCCCCTTGCATTGGGATATGTACATGCACATTGATAGCCATTGTACCAGAGTCAAATTCCTTGTGTGTCCAACACACCTGGCCAATAAAGCTGATTCTGAATGTGCTGCACTCGTTGCAATTATAGTTCCCAGCAAATATTGAAAAGCATTTTAGCAAGAAATGCCCATCCCTATATAACACAAACACTTGGTTTTTTCAATTCTAGTATGAAACAGAAAAATGAAAGAACAAACAATGCACAGATTGTTTAGATAGCCTTGCTAGATTGGTAATAACTTATTAGAAGAGTTGGCTCTCCAAAACAAACATGGAGAGGGAGAGCTGTTCACAGACGGTCCATTGACAATGCATGGTTTTGTGTGTGTGAGTGAGTGAGTGAGTGAGTGAGTGAGAGAGAGAGAGAGAGAGAGAGAGAGAGAGAGAGAGAGAGAGAGAGAGAGAGTGAGAGACAGCAGACAGGAGCAACTGAGTAAATCAATCCACTATGATGAAATAGGTTCTTGGCTATTAAATAGTAAAAAAATAATAATAATAAAAAATCTATATGTGGCAGTCAATGCTGATATTGTGGTGGGAAACACTGCATTTCTATAATGCAGAAGTGTTTTGAATTGAGAATATTTTATCACAATAGTTGCACTGAAGAAAAAAAAAAGCAACTTAGCTCACAACTGAAAAGCTCAACTGATCACGTGACGTTGTTAACCAGCTGTTGCTGACAGTGAACAAGACTGAAAGTTCTGACAAAACTTCAATCCCCCACTACAGAAATTAAAACCTTTGAGTACACACTAATAATAAAATTCACAAGCAGTATAGTAGTAGCTGACTGTTGAACAGTTTTACATCAGATCCACTTTGACCAAGACTATTCTTACATACACTCCTCAGAAACATTTTAGGATTGCTTACCCGTAGGTCCTCAGGTGGTGGAGGTGGTGCTGCTGGGGGCTCCTCTTTTGGAGGGGGTGGAGGAGGTGTGTTTTTCAGTGGTTCTGAAGGAGGAGGAGGAACTACTTGGCCTGGGGGTTGTGGCGCTACAGGACCATCGCCTTCCTTCTGATTCTGTTTGGCCTTCTCCTGCTTCAGTTTCTGTAGATTCTGAAGATGCTGTTTGTACCAAAGCTGCTGTTGCTCCTAGGTAAAACAATTACAAAGACATCTGTCAGAGAATGCACACGAGGAGCTTTGTTCTTTTTGTCATTCATTGTTCATATGTTCTGTTCCATATCTTGCATGGATGAGATTTATTACTACAACACTAACACCTGACATGAAACAGGTCACATTCTGAAACTTCTTGTAGCAATAAATATTCTGTTCTCACCTCACTACTCTGAGTGTTTGTGGAATCTTAAATTACTTGTCATTTCCCTGCTCTGTGTTACAGGATACCTGTGATAATTATATTCTCGAACTTTATGTCAATGGCCTGAAACAAACACTTGCGTCACATCTACGTAAATTTAATACCTGAACACTTGCACTGACCGCTGTTCTGATGACGAGTGATGCTGCACAGAGGTTGGAGTCTGACGCTTCAGGCACAGCAGGGCGGACAGTATCATCGCACACAGAACTAGACTTTACAACAGCTTTTTCCCTGCCGCAGTAAGACTGATGGCAAATACGAAAATGTGAGAAATATGAGAATATATGTGCAATAACCCCTTACTAGACATGCACAATAATAATATAGAAATGTCCCACAAGGTATGTTTGTAAGAGCATCTCATCAACAGTTTTCTCTTGGGGGACCTGAATAATAGCAGGACATTCTCTATCAAGCAATGGAAACAGGCCTGAACATAAACTGTGTTTTAGTATGTTATAACCCCTCACTACCTCACCAAGCGTAATGACATAGCCAGCTCCACCATGTGAATTACTAAGTGCGATGTTCAAAGGTCACTGGGGAAAATACCATTACCCTATTTTTGTGTATTGCGGTTTTAATGCTTTGTTGCCTTTATGTAACTTTTTTATTTTAAGACTAAGTGTTCTTTCTGGCTTTTGACTCCTTACCTGACTCCAAAGGAGAGCTGCACAAGAATTCCTATATGCCCAGACTGTCTGTTTATGTATAAATGGCAAATAAAAATCTTGACTTGACTTCAGGAGCTTATACACTGTTCACCATCTTTCTTGAAGAGTGAATTCCATACATATGTCCAGTTTGTTTACCCATTTCCATTAAAGTGTTGAACACAGCCATGCCCTGACTGTTTCTGCAATTTGTATCCAGGATTATCTCAGTTCTAAACAGGGTTAATATTGTCTTCGTCTGCCAGTATTTGCAAATTGTTTTGCATTTGTCAGTCCATGTTATTTCTTGAACCAGCAAAACTGAAATGCCGCCACACAACGCTTCTAGTGCATCTGCTATATCAACCTCAAATTCTGCAACCTGAACGCAGTTATACTACTCAAATAACCATATGTAATATCCCAGCAGACACCATCACAGTCCTACGACAATATCAAAACATTTTTCTATCATGGTATTGCAAAATTACAAATACCGTTACATCCCTAATGATATATATATATTCTGGTTCATAAAATTAGATTGCTCTCTATGTAATCGCGTTCTACAATGCATTAATTCTAAATAAAAACAGTAAAAAGTTAAAAAGCAATAACAATTACAGAATCTCCCCATTTCATTAATACATCAGGCTGTACAGATGTATCAGTGTATGAGTAGATCTGAACAAAAAATAATATACTACTGGTGCTGGTGTTTGACTAATACCATACCCCTTGATGCCTCTCTGGTTTATTATGTGGTTTTCAATATGCCTCTCCTACTTCTTTTCCATATTTAACATTTGCAATGTGATAATGTCAACCATTATATTAATGTATTGTTTGCACAAGATTGACATATCTTGCCACTTAAACATGACAGAAAGACGCACTGACAGAACATGAACACATTTAATGCTAATGATTGATAAAGCCATCAAATAACACATTAAGAATTTCAGAGGGTAATTTCTGGTAACAGCAATTTTGAAAAACGGTGGCTAAGTTGCAATTTGGCTGTTAAGTTCTGGCTGCAGATAAATCGAATTAATCAGTGGTAAGATTTAGCAGCAATAAACTGATGCAAGTCACTACCTGCAAAGGTAAGGATTTGTCATCTTCTTTCGTGGACGAATCCTTATTGTTAGCCTCTTTTGCTTTGGGAACATCATTGTTATCCGGTGGCTTTGATGGCGGAAGCACTGGAGGAGGGGGAACCGGTTGGGGCTCGGTGGAGTACGCTTGTGGTGGAGGCGGTTGTGCGCCCGTCTTGGGAACAGGGGGACCCCTCGGCGGTGGACCCGGTGTCTCTTCTTGTTTATAGTACGAATGAACTCCAGCACCGCTGTCTAAAGGTCCTGATCCTTCTGATTGCCACCCTGAATACCCGCCCGAGTGTCCACCAGCGTACGCAGTCGTACTACTACCGTGGTGTAACACAGACTGGAGTTGTTTCTGGTGCAGCATCTGCAGTTGCTGCATCTGCTGGAGGTGCTGCTCCTGCAAGCTGAAGAACAGCGAGCCGCTGGATGAGGCCTCGAAGCCCCCGAACCCCGCTGACGGGCCTGTGAGGCCGCCAGGCGGCGGTTTACGAGGCGCAGAGCCTCCAAAGTTTTGCGAATTAGATGCACCATAGCCCCCCCAGGAGGGATACATAGTTAAAGTGCGATAAGGTTTGTACGGCTATTGTGCTCACATACAGCTGGGCCTGCGTGGCTAACAAAGCTAACAGCTAACGTTGACCTACCGTTTCTAATATCGATAGCTAAGCTACATTGTTATTTCCCAAATGGATCAGGCCACACTGAACAAAGACTGTAAATACCGCCTCTACGCCAGTGACACAATTATCGATTAGAGAGAGAAATGTGCAAGTTCAGCCTCGTGAGAAATGTTAGAAAAACGCTAACAATCCGTGATGGTGCGGAGTAGCTAAAGCTACAGCTCACGTCACACCACGAGCGGCGGAAATACGTCACACGTCATCAAGTGACCGCTTCCGGTCGCTATATTACATACGTTAAGATGTTTAATCACAAATGTAATTTTTGCAAAAGAATAGCCGTGTTTTCTTAAACTTTTCAAGGCTGACTTTTCTTGTGTCTTAAGTTTTATATTTCGTCCATAAGATTAGATTGTGACTCCCATGTATATTGTTGACTGGTGTTGATAGCACACTAACAACAACAACAACAGCAACAATAATAATAATAATAATAATAATAAAAATAAA